TTTGGTAGTGTCATTGGCAGTTTGATTGGCAGCTTATTGGCAGTTTGATTGGCAGCTTATTGGCAGTTTGATTGGCAGCTGTGATTTAATATTAAGCTTGACTGGCATGGATTTGGCTAATGACTATTCAAGCTGATAAGAGAAGTCAGCATCCGCCCCTTGGTAGAAGATCTCACTGATATATATTCTGCTTCCAGATGCCTGAATTTCCATGTTATAAACGCATCAATTGTAACTCATATTTACATTTGTTTCTTCTGCATTAATTGAGAATATTTTTGGTTAGAATAACTGCATTTAAACTGCATTATTGCAGTGATTATAGAAACTAGACTGAATGTAGACCATTTCACAATATTTGAATCTGTATATCGCACATTTAGGGCACAGTCCTTAAAGAAGCAAAATACATACACAAAATATATAATCAGACATAAAATAATATGTTAAAAATATAGTATGTTATACTTTTGTGGTAAAGAGCTTTTAGTAGATATTAAGGAATCTAATCATGTAATATGGTCTTACTGACGGTTTGCTAGTATTTAAGACTTCTTATGGGGTCCTTTGTTTAAAGGGACTCTATAGGCACCCAGACCCTGCATCTCAATAAAGTGGTCTGGGTGCATCAGCAGTATATGTTTAACCCTTAAAGTTAAAACATCGGCATTTTGCAGAAAGGGTTAAACACACCTCTAGTGGCCGCCATGATGTCAACAACTGGAGGAGCTTCTACTGCACTGACAGAGTAAAACTCGGCAGCTCCTATGAAAGTATTGGATTTAATAAGTGGCTGCTTGTTAAGTACCCAGTGCATTAAATGGGACCTTCACCAGGGGAGGTCACACCTTCTCGATGACACGATGGGGGGAGGAGGAGACGCGAGCAGTGCCGAAGGAGTCTCATTGATGGAAAACCATGAATGAAACCTTTTATTCTTTCTATTTTATTTTACAAATGGGTGGAAGCATTATTTAAATAGGGACCGGGACACTATAGAGCTAGGAATGCAGCTTTGTACTCCTAATAATAATATAGTGAGAGTTATTCATGAAGTCAGAATTCAGAGTTAATTTCAAATTTAAGGTAAGAGTAGACAAACTGGAGTAATTCTCTAATTCAGTTGTGCTTTCAATTCAGCTGGTTTGGCCTTAAATTTAACATTCACTTTAAATTCTGAATAACTCTGTTAATCTTACATGGTGATAGAGAATTAAATGGCAATTCACTATATCTCCATTTCATCCATTCAATCATTAATTGATTATTAGGTCACACATGTAAATAACTCATCATAAAGATTATCTTAAATGCTGGCAAAGCATTATGGGATTTGAGGTTTACATAGAAACATAGAATGTTACAGCAGAGAAGAACCATTCGGCCCATCTAGTCTGCCCAATTTTCTAAATACTTTCATTAGTCCCTGGCCTTATCTTATAGTTAGGATAGCCTTATGCCTATCCCACGCATGCTTAAATTCCTTTACTGTGTTAACCTCTACCACGTCAGCTGGAAGGCTATTCCATGCATCCACTACCCTCTCAGTAAAGTAATACTTCCTGATATTATTTTTAAACCTTTGTCCCTCTAATTTAAGACTATGTCCTCTTGTTGTGGTAGTTTTTCTTCTTTTAAATATAGTCTCCTCCTTTACTGTGTTGATTCCCTTTATATATTTAAATGTTTCTATCATATCCCCCCTGTCTCGTCTTTCCTCCAAGCTATACATGTTAAGATCCTTTAACCTTTCCTGGTAAGTTTTATCCCAAAATCCATGAACCAGTTTAGTAGCCCTGATATCTTCGCCGTACTAGGTTTCACTAGCACCTAAGAATTCCATATATTTCCTGGTCTATAAGAGGCTCTGATGTGGCCAGAATATGATAGGTTTTTTTATGTATTGTGTTTGTGTTTATAATGTATACAGTGTACATCCTCTGCATAACTTCATCTGTTTAACACAATGAATACCCATTATTCTTACAGTGAATGTGTTCTGTACTGACTGGAGTGAGGTCTGTTCTGTAACACGATCCAGTGTTCCTGCCATTTCCAAAGCCTGAGGGACACAGAACAGAAGAAGCGACCTGTGACCTGCCTAGATTATAGTGTCACCCACACCTATCAATGGAAGCTCGGGGCTGTCTGTCTTGTTTTGGGTCCTGTGTGCAGGCTGACAGTCACCGGTTGACTCTGCTCACAGACTTTCTGTTTAACTCTTATTTTGGGACTCCCCCACCCCTAAAACCCACTCCTTTCTACGCTGAATAGTGAGGTGTTTACAGGCCCCGGATCTGCTGCCAAGCATGATGTAGGGAGTTCACATTTCTAATGTTCTCTCTAAGGAGGCTTTATTACAGCTAAAGGGGAGCAGCCTGGCCAGCTGTGAAAACAGGGCTTGGAAAGCGTCCCATGTAAGCCCACTCTGTCACCCCTTCCCCCAAATAGAACTCACTTTACAGGCAATATTTCTGTGAATAATGGAGCAGTCCTTTGTCTCCCTGTACTGTTCTCTCTCTACCTACGCTTGTCTCCGGCATTTGGTTAACATTAGCTTCACAATGGAGTGTAGGAGTTGGTATAAAACATCTCACGTTAGGTGTGGCTGTAACAAAATCTCAGGACACGGCCAAAACGGAATTCAAGAATGCATTTAACACTCTGACATCTGAGGTCCTCAAAGCATGACAATCCACGTTTTGTGCAGTTTTGGGGTGATACCCATGGGGCTTGCGAACATGCTGATACCTTTGGCGTACCGTGTTGTAATAACATTATGAATGCTGTGATGTGGTGATAAAGTGTACACTAATAATGACTACCCTGACATGCATATTCAATCTGATGTAGCCCCTTCCATTACCGGCTCCTGGCAGTGGGCATCGAGCATCTACATCATGTCTCCTTACTAGATCATCGAGGCCACCAGGAAAGAGAGATTGGACCGGTTGATGGTGTTTGACGGTGGGGCTAAATCTCAGCATGAAACCTAAGAAAACAGGAGAGAAAAGTAGCCTGATCGAGAATTCTAGAAATTAAAACCTAGCCTTTTTTTTTTAGAGATGCAAAAACATGAAACATTCGATCAACAGTGTTGCAAAATTCTAATATTTATGTGTGAGATTTTTGTCTTGTAACCACTACCTTCTTCTTCAAGACTTTAACTGGTAGGTACGTTTTTCCATGACAGTCCCACCGATTGGTAATAACCTTCAGCATGAGTTCGGCATTAGCAATCCTAACAAATTCTGATCTAATGTTAGTAAACACAAAGAATACTGTGTACAACACAATGTTTACTGACAGTAATGCAATAATGACATGTACAATCTGGCATTTCAATCTTCATTTTCAGCTTTCCTAGGGAAGGTTTTAGAGGGAAGTTTACTAATTGGATTTCTGCCAAACTGAACAAGCGCATATAGAAAATGACTTTTCAGCAGAGATTATACAGCTACATCACTTTCCCCATAAACACATTAAAAGAGGCCGACAGTCTCCCGCACATCTCCAGTGCAAAACATAGGCTATTATACAGAAAGATCTGCAGGATTGTCCTTGTTTATTATAATAATTTCAGCCAATCAGTCTTCTCTAACCATTGTTTCATTTGTTCCAATCTGTCACAAATTCTTTTTCACTTTCTAGGTTCATAACACACGGAAACAGACATGATGTCCCACAAAGTATTTAAAAATCTGAAATGAAACTAAATACAGGAGGACCTATTTGAGTGTGCAAGGAGCTGTACAGCAAAGTGAGTGCAATTATCTTCATCCAAAAAAGGTATAGGTTAAACCAGGGCCACTCAATATGTAGAACCCCAGATGCTGTAGAACTATAACTCCCATAATACTTTGCATGCCTTTAGAAGGACAAAGCATCATGGGAGCTGTAGTTCTACAACATCTGGGGATCTACCTATTGGGCAGCCCTGGGTTAAACTATATGTATCTCTTTCATTACGTCACAGAAATAGATTAAAAACCAATTTATGTTTTATATGAATGAAGCTAATTGCAGACTGAACAATAAACTCTCCCTGTGCAGAGTTCTAGGATGGAAGGTGCTTGATCGTAGATGGAGGTAATGCCAATTCTGGCTCATTAATGAATTATCATGTCATCATTATGAATGATGATCATTTTAGATTGGTAACATTCATTTCTATCTGTGTTCCCGGCATGGAGAAATCACATTTTGGTGTAACTTTCCTCAAAAGGACACGCAACAGAAAAATCTGCAACTTGTGTCACCAAGACCAAATTCCACCGAAAGCGATGCCGCCACCAGGTCAATGTGGTGAGGTCAGTATGGTAGGTCAATGGGCTCCTCATCCAACTGCTAGGAGTCTAATATACCCTAGCCCAATGTCCCTTACCTGTCTCAGCCCAGAATTTAACTCTGATTTCATGGGGAAGTCAGACCATGGCCAAGAAAACATGGCTGTACATCACGCCTGTGTTCTATATTAGGTTGTGGCTCATTTATATATACAAAGGATTACTGTTGTATTGTCAGTTTGTAAACTAGTATACTCAAAGGGGATAATGTAAAAGTAAGTTGTTGTTCTTTTTAAACCAAAATTTGCACAAATGCAGTATCAACATTAGATTAGTCTGAAACTCGATGTCTGTCTGTGCTCATTTTGACGTCAAGCTGGGAACTCCTAGATAGTTGTGGAAACATGTTTTGGTGAATTTCTGTGCCCGATAAGGATTACTCAAAGTCCATCCTGAGATAAAGGTACATAATGAGGCTTCTAAAAGCAGGGCAGGTACCATTTAAAAAGTGAAAAAGAGGGGCGGAGCTTGACCACGAGCCAGAACGGACGCAACTCAGCATCGCTCCCATCCAAAACCCGCACTAAAGCCTGTTATTTGAGGCTTAAAACCCTCAAATACCCACTCCTGACCGGGGACACAAGTGGAGAACAGCCAAGCTACCCCCCAGCACGGGCGCAACAGCGAAAAAGCAGATCTGCGGCCTACAAACCCATGGCGGCCCTCGACTGGTTGGCACTGCTGGAAGATCCAGAGGGGGAAGACTTCCACGCAGGTCACCTACCGACCCCGGCAGCAATGGGCCATCGGAATCAAAAACCTCAGCCGGAATCGTCCTCAGGGTCCAGGGACATAAGTGCTGCAATAACGACAACCGCTGCCCAAAATAGCCGGAACAGCGGAGTATGAAGTTGCCAAGGCACCCACAGACCCTGTACCGCCTGACTCACCTCTAGAATGGGCGCATACAACCAAGGGGAACCTGAATTGGTCAGCCCCTGTCACCCAGCGAGACTTTCATAACTTGGTTGAGGGATTCAAAAGTCTCCTGGCAACCAGCATAGCGGCCATTAAAGCGGACATACAAGCTGTCACAGACAGGGTGCAGTCCAACGAGGACGATATCTCGGGTATCAAGCAAGGACTGACAACCCTACAGAAATCTGTGCAGGCCTTACAAGCCCAACAACAGGCACTACATAGCCCTCGATGACAGAACAAGGCGAAACCACATTAAGATCAGGGGAGTACCAGACACCATCACTCCTGATGAACTGCCCCACTATATGAGGGACCTCTTGGCCTCCATTCTGCTGCCAAAGCATGCCAAAATCTTTTACATAGACTGGATATACCGCTTACCACCCTCAGGCAGAACAGCCCCAAATGTAACCAGAGATGTGATTGTATGCTGTGCCACTGCCCAGGACAAGAGAACCCTGATAACAGCCACCCGAGACAAGAAGCCGCTCACATTTGAGGGAGCTTAACTCACCATCTACCAAGATCTCACTAGAGCCATGCTACAATGGCGCAGATCATTGAACCAGGTCACCAGCAACCTCAGAGAAGCAGGGCTGGAATACCACTGGAGATCACCCAGATTCCTGAACGGTGCACAAATTCTCCATGCTAGCTGACTTCTGGACATTTCGTAAGGCCTTGGGCCTCCCCACACCCAGACAGGATACTTACCAACGACCCGCTCCGGATGCTTGACCTCCATGGGAGCCAACTCTGGGACAGCAACTTGTACATGCACTGTTAAGTTAAAAATTCCTCTATTTACCTAAATCGTGCTGAGCCATACAGTCCACTAGTCCCACTTTCAGATGGCCTGCTCTGCCGACCAATTACCAGTCCACACTCCAGCCCCAGAGGCCCCCTAGGCTGAGGGAGCATTTTAGAAGCTGAACGGGTTGAACTTAAGACCACCTATACCGCGCGGCCATTCTCCCAGAGCACTTCACCCACACTTGACACTGTACCAACATTGGTCCTTAAATTTAGTGATGCATATCTGTTCTTATTATCATACGTCTTGTTTTGCAACATATGTACACTTTTATGTATATCATCCTTATGTTACATGACCAGAAATGGTGCGATAAAAAAATGAAAAATTTAAATAAAAAGAGATTGACAACAAAAAAAGTAAAAAAGAGAGATTTCTGGCGCTTGCTTTTTGCAGCTCGAACTTCCCGAACCAGAGTCTCTTCCTTCTGGTCGTTGATGAGAATAAATAAGAGAATGATGGTGCTTTCAACTTAAGTCCTTAGTTCCAATGGAGCAATATAAAAAAATAGAAGGGACAAAACACAAATATAGTGTAGTATTTTAGCGTATCAAATATGGCAAATAAAAAAGATTACACTCACACTTTTCTGGAGCTCAATATCAGCTCCAGATCACTGCACCAGGATGGTACAATCCCCATCTGTGGATATGTAGATGGTCCTGGTCCTATATGAGGAGGTGTCTTTAGGCCAGTGGTTAGCGATGTAAGGTCTGCAGCAGTAGTAGCGGTGCTCACATTCAATGTTTTCTGGTATGCCAGTAGATAATGCACCAGTAATGTAAGTAAAAATATAAAAACAAAAATACTGCTCTCTGTAATATTAAAATAATAAATAAAAAGAGATATACTTGTGACAAGCTCTGTATTTCCCTAGCCCAGTTAATTTTTTACTGCATTTGGTAGTTGGATCTACCAAACACCGACCACCCCCTGGCTCATTAAACTTCAAAGTAGCCACAAGATTAAGTGCCATTTTGTCTCCCGAAAGCAGGCAGCAGGACATGGTCTTCGAGTGGACTATAAGTCGGAACACTCGACCTCGCGAACACCAGTGATTTTATATGAACGCCTCCTTCTATTCTTGACAAGCCAGGAGAGCGCTATTCAGTGGAACGGTACGCACGAACATGAGGAACAATCGCTACATATGAGCCAGGGGAACCGTTCTGTCTTTTGTTCGGTTTGGGATTCCCAAAAGTAACCGACAGCTACTATATTTGGGCAGACGCCACGTGTGAGGTCAGTCAAAACTTTACCTCGGTGGCGATTCGGCTGTATTCGAGCTATTTGGACACGTTGGGCGCTCAGATTTAGGCTTTCCAGGGATATAAGATTTATGGGGGGGCCCTATTAATATCATATATATTTTAGGGTGTTTTATGTTTTATCATTTGTACCTCTAGTGCCTGGGAGATCATTGGTTTAAGCAAAGCACACTCAATTTTCTCTCAGACAGAGACGCCTGGGCGTGTTTTACTTTGTTTTTGCTGGAGACCCCATGCTGGGGGTCTGTGTATAAAAGTGGGCCATCTGGTCATAATAAAACATTCCAGTTGTACCCTTCATCAAGTCTCGACTGATGTTTGGGTATGTGAACGATGAAGCGATTGATTCTTTTTACGACCTGCTTGGATTTCGGGAGAATACAACTAGTGTATTATGCGAATGGGCTATAATCACTCAAGCCTCTAGCAGTTCGGGAGTGTACGAACGAACGTACTATACAAAGTACAAAGGGTTCATTACAATACTCACAAAGGAAAAGCAAATAAGAATTGCTCAATCCTAAATAGCATAATTGGTTTATCTTGAAAGGTACTGTATGTACCTTTTTTACAATTTTAAAAGCATTCTGGAGAACGTAGAAGTTTTCCATATCCTTGTCATTCCAGCATTAAAATTGAAGTAGACAGCAACTTTTCTAACCCGTGTCATTTTGGCATCAGTATAATTAGTGGATGCTCTAAACCTGCGTTCTTTTATAATATGCATCAAAATGAGGACTCAAAACGGCCATATGAAACAATCATGGCATCAAACACTATATAAACCCTCGAGCCATGGAGCTCATTCACCTGACATGGTTCCCTGGTGATCACAATAATGTGTTTCTTGTGATTTTTGACACAACTTAGTCTGAGTCTCCTGATCTCTGTAACCCTGACACAGCTTGTCTCTCCATTCTGTCTGGTTTCCGGTATTACTCCACCTTCACCTGTCTCTGAATTCTCTCTTATAATAAGCCTTCTCCATTCTAAGGACTGGTAATACAGCTGTATCCTTCTGAATGGATGTAGATAGTTGGGTTCAAGTACCACATGTTGGGGTATACTCTTGTCCGAGTGACAGAGAAGATATTTTGCTTCTGTAAAAGATGCAAGAACTGTTTTGTATGTTTGTCGCTAAATAGTGAGAGTTTTAAATGTCTTCCTAGAACATCTGTAAAATGTCACCATATGGACACAGCCTTAGTTAGGTAACATGGTGAAGTCACAAGATGCTTGTAGTAGTCGATAGATGTGGGATACAGATCGATATCCTTGTAAAGACTCTGAATGAAATCATTGTAATTTTTTCTCATTGGCTATTGTACAATTTATGTAAATTGTTTCTATATTGATCACTGTTAAGAGATTATAAATTCGATTCAAGCTTGGTCTAGCACCTCCTATTATCCTCCCCCTCCCCCCCACATGATAGTAAGGGTTTACAATTCTACTGTGATTGCTGCACTATAGAGTAAATAAAATGGCCTCATTCCTGGCACGTTCAAATGTAGTGGATGCTTCCTTCCTGGTATTAACTAGCATTGCTGGATTCATTTTTCATGGTCTTCCTCTGGGCAGGGTATCCTTTCTCCTGTCACGGAAGGACCGGAAAAAACAGGGAAATATCAGATATATTGATACACCATAGTTCATTGGATGAAATCTGCTTACGATGCTAGGGTTACAGTTACATCCAGAATGGGCATTGCGAATACTCAGACGTAGCCTTTCTTGGCAAAGATGTGGTGAGTTGCAGCCATTTTAATGGATTGACATTAGATCAAATGCTAAATTATTTGTTAGATGTGGAATTCTGATAGAATCCTAACAAAGTCATTAGGTCAGTAACTGGTGATTAAATAAATATCCAAAGTATGACGATTGTCAGGCAGCACCTTGAACTTACATTGCTCTAGTCATATACCGATCAAAGGTAGGACTTCTGTTTAAAACTACATTTTAGTCTACTATATCTTCTGCAAGGCTGTCCTGACATTCATTTTCCCGGTATCCAACACAAGGCTCTTTCCTCCTCTGCCTGCTCTTATGGAACCTCCTTACACCTCTCTGATTGCCTTCCATGAGTTTCCCTAGCCCTTGCCCTCTCATATAAGGTTTGTTAATCCCTTGGCCTGTAATATTGATCTACAACATGGACCTATAATATTCAGCAGTCTCAGCACCAGTCTTATGGTCCTTTATTCCTGTGCTGTGTTTATGTCTGGGACATGAATATAGTGCTGTCAGGGATATTTACTAAGGTGACAATTGTCAGGAATTCTAAATTAATTCAAAATTAATTTTAAAAAATTGGGGCAAAATAGCCAAGTTAGACAACTTCTCCAACTGAATTCTGTGGTCAGTTTGGTTATTTTAGCCTTCCATTAGAAATTCATTAAATTCCGGACAATTCTCATGTTGGTAAATAACCCTGGGTATATTCTCTGATAAATCTGTCCCATTGTTTCTGCATTTCAAAGTGTTGTGATGTGAAAGGCGAGTGGTTGCTCCTTTTTTATTTAAGAATCAATCAAAGTGTGTATACTCCGATCAAGAAAGCTGTGTTATCAGAAACTTGCTGTGCCTCTTCTTACCACAGCCGCAGTCAGTACCAGACGGCAATGAGTACTCATACCCCTTCACACAGCAAGACAAAGTGTGTATTTATTAGGCATGCGCAGGATGAAAAAACTTCCAAATGTAAAATTTAGCTTAGTGTTGGTTTGGACTTTATTCTGACATTTACGTTGACTCGTGTTGTGGATTATTTTTAGCGAGTTCTGTTTTAAAAAAAAACAAACAGATTTTTTTGTGATCCGGTTTTTATTTTTCATCAAAACTTG